CGGGACTATTCAATTAATTAAAAATGAACACACATCATAGTGTTTTCTGATATGCTAATCTTAATCGTTTCATCAGCAAAAGTACCCTGTATGTTGGCAGGATACATTATTTCAAACACATAATCAACTAATTGAAGGAAGCAAGATATATTTTTAATGATATCAAAAGTCAAAAGATTTGAACCATTCAATTAATGAAATAAAAAAAAAGAGCATACATCATAGAGGTTTTTTATGATATTCTAACCGATTCATCAACGGAAGTTCTTATTGAAAATTTAAAAAAAAAAGAGTGCTCACGGAAAGGAACTAACTAGTAAAAAAATTTATCAAGCTACACTTTAATTTACTTCTTACAGTACGAAATTGTTATAATTTTTCTTTTGACTTCTTTGCTATTGTTTCACCAGATGTATCATAATCTCTATTAATCACTGTTTCATATTCTTTACTGAAACATCTCTGTCGATCATCAATAGTCTATCTATTCTTCTCAACAGCATCACTACTCACTATCACTATTTCTGAATTCACTACCTCTACCATCAATGGACTCTTTCTCCTTCATTTTCATTTCATTGATATTTTAGTTGAGTCTAAAATGTTTGCAAATATGAAACCTTATCAATTAATAAAGATTCTTAATTGATGTAGCTACTAATCCAATAATTTAAAATCCCGCACGCTTCATTTTTGAATTTAATGTTATAAATATTTTAATTGGACATATTTATTATTAGTGAATAAAAATGTCGGTACCAAATAAAAGGAAGAAATAAGTTTTTTCTTTCTAGAATATGGGATGGGTAGAAAATTTATGAAAATTTGGGCTTTTTAAGGATTAATAAATAAACTTTCGTGTATGAGAGATTATGGATTTAAGTCTATAAATGCTTTGTTTTAGTAGTTTAAATGACTCAAATGTCCTTCCTACAAACTCTCATAATGTTATGTATGTGCACATCGGGTCGTGTTCGGGTGCGCTTAGCGAACTTAGTAATAGTTCATGCACATGTTTATCTATGACACTTTGTTTCTTCTTTAAGTAGGGGTGGACAACCGGTTCGGTAAACCCAAACTGAACTGAACTAAACAAAACTTAATTAAATCGAAACAAAACCAAAATAATGCTATTCGGTTCGAAATTCTGAAGGAAAATATGGATATTTTGGAAATCAGGATTCTTTCAACCGAACTGAAATTCTGACCGAAAACCCGAATAACTATAATTGTAAGCTCCACATGGTGAATTTTTTTTATGTTTGTACTTGTTTTGAGACTTAAATATTTGACTTAAGTTAGTGTTTTATGACTTATATGTTGAATTGTTTGATTTTATCATTGATGATGCATATAATTGCATATTTATTGTTTGCATTAGGGGTAAAAAAATAATTTAAAAGGGAGAAGATACAAGTAGCCTCACAAATTCGATTTTGTGTTAAATTCCAAACCTAACCGGATTATAATTCAGTTTATACCAACCGAATCAAATTGTAATTCGATTCGAATTCGATTTGAGATTTGGTAGACTTCGGGAACCCGATATGCATAATTTCGATTCGCTCAAAACCGAACCAACCGAATACCCACCCCTACCTTTAAACGGTTCCAAGGCTGGTAACCACTTGAAAATGTTCGAGCATCAATCAGACGAGCCAAACTAGAACGTGACCTTGTGGTTCAGTAGCTTTTGGTGTGGGAAATTATCTCATAGGTAAAGTTATTGAGCACGACCTATCTAGATCTAGGTACATGTTTGGCCTTATCTGACCGATTGGGGCTGTGAGTGAGTAATTGTGCTATTTTGCGTGACTTGGCTGATTGGAGTACCAACCGAGCCACGCTTTAGACCATAAATTACTTCTCTCTACTTATACTAGCGTGGGCCCCGGCTATTTGGCCGAAGGAAGGTGAGGAGCACCATCGCAGTCTCTTTGGTTATCAATATTTTGATTTGAATAGGCAACCAATTTGTTAACTTTTTAGCAACCAAAATCTGATTGGTCGTAAATACTAGCCTTTCCCCAACCAAAACTACTTTTTGTTGTAGTGCCTTTTCTCATTTTGATTTTCCGTTCGACGTCCAACAAGCCATGCAAGGTGTGGACAGGGATGGATATCTAGAGAATCGCGTTGGATCCGAAGGTGGATAACTGAACGAGTAGGAGGTGGGAGCACCATCGCAGTCCGCAGAGCAATTGGATTTCTCCGTACGGCTTTGTTTGTTGGGTTTTTTCCCGTTCTAGCACATTCTCTTTTCTCCCCGTTCCTTTCCAATCAGACTGGTGACCATGCAAGATGATTGTCCATTCCATTAACCACCCTCTAAAGCTCTCTAGCCTATAGGAAATGGATTAGCCAAGCTGTGTCCGCAGATGGGTAGCTGGATCTGAAGGTGGACAGCTGAATGGTCGACGTTTCTTCACCACCGCCGTCACCATTCCCTGTGAAGTTTTAAAAAATTAAGGTGTTGGGTAGGTGGAACACATCAATTGAAAATATAATTGGCTAGCATAAGAAGTAAAAGACGATGAAGAAGATAAGGCAGCTGCTAGGTTAAGCAGCTGCAGAAGAACGAAATGGGGAATCGTTAGGTGAGCTGTATGATCATCCTTTTCTATTTATGCTCTGCAATTCCAGGTCTACAGTAAAAACAGAAAAGCAAAAACTGTAAATTAAATTGACTGTAAATAAGCCGACACGTGGCTGTTCTTCATCAGGTAAAATACTAACGGCTATTTCCTCAAACGCTGCCGTTTCCTTCCTTCCTCTGTTTCTTCTTCTTTGCATCAGCAGCAGCTCCAGCTTCCTCTTCTTCTTCTTCTCTGCTGCTGCTAATCTCATCTGTTACTCCCCCACAAGTTGGCGAGTGCATATCAATCACTCCCAACTTGTCCAGCAAGAATTTCAATCTATATCTTGTCATCCCTTTTGTAAACATGTCTGCTAATTGATCTTCAGTTCGAACATGATTCAATTTAATTATACCTGACTTCAGTCTTTCTCTCGTGATGTGGCAATCTATTTCAATATGCTTAGTCCTCTCATGGAAGACTGGATTTTCAGGAATGTGCATTGCTGATCGATTGTAACAATAAACCTGAATAGGTAGCTCCACTTTAACATCCATTTCTGCTAACAGGTTCCTCAACCACTGCAATTCACAAACTAGATGAGCCAGTGCTCTATATTCTGCTTCTGATGATGACCTGGAAACTGTTGTCTGTTTCTTTGATTTCCAGGTTATCAAATTCTCCCCCAGCATTGTGCAATACCCTGTAACAGATCTTCTGGTGTCTGGACAACTTGCCCAGTCAGAATCTGAAAAACCAGATAGCTTCAAGTTTGAATCTGCCTTGAACAACAACCCTTGCCCCGGAGCATGCTTCAAGTATCTCAAGACTCTATAGGCAGTTGACAAATGCTCACTGTATGGATCCTTTTGGAACTGACATAACTGTTGTACAGAAAATGTAAGGTCAGGTCTAGTTATAGTCAGATAATGTAGCCTACCCACAAGTCTCTTGTACACTTCTGGATTTTCCAAAGGTTCTCCCTGTTTAGCAGTCAACTTCATCTTGTAATCAACAGGTGCCAAGCAGTCTTTAGCTTCCAAGTAACCTGTGTCTGCTAACAATTCCATACAGTATTTCCTTTGATTGACTTGAATGCCTTTGTGGTCTCTATAAATCTCCAGTCCAAGGAAGTATTTCAATACACCAAGATCTTTGATCTTAAATTCCTTTCCAAGAAACATCTTCAACTGCTCTATATCTCCCAATGAGCTCCCTGCAATAAGGATATCATCTACATATACCAAAACAACAAGGATTCTTCCTTGTATTCTCTTCACAAACATAGAATAATCTGAGGCTGCTTGTGAAAACCCATTTCTGAGCAGTGATCCTGCTAGCTTGGTAAACCATTGCCTGCTGGCTTGTTTCAAACCATACAAGGACTTTTTCAGTCTCAAAACCATCCTCTTATCTGGTAGTTCCATCCCTTGAGGTGGTTTCATGTACACCTCTTCATTCAAATCTCCATGGAGAAATGCATTTGATACATCCATTTGATGTATAAGCCAGTCATTGGCAGCTACTACTGCTAAAAGGGCCTTGACTAAGTTAATCTTTGCCACTGGGGAAAATGTGTCTAAGAAGTCTATGCCATAAATCTGGGTGAATCCCTTAGCAACAACTCTGGCCTTGTGCCTTTCAATATTTCCATCAGCTCTTAACTTGATTTTATACACCCATTTACTTCCAATTGCTCTCTTGCCTGGAGGTAGGAAGACTGGTTCCCAGGTTTGATTTGCTTCAAGAGCATTCTGCTCATCTTTCATAGCCTCTCTCCAGCACAACTCAAGACAAGCTTCTGCATAGCTTTTAGGTTCCACTGCTGCTGTAGACACCACTTTTTGTCCGGGTTATAAACATATTTAATCAAATAAAATTTAGTTTCAATTTAAGGTTTGCAATAGCAATCTTAAATGACCTTATGGCTAAAACGTATTTGCAGTGCTTGGATTGGGTCTTTGTTTGCCGAGATCAGCAATAGCAAATCTCAATTGACACATTCTATTAGTGATGATTTGACATGTTTAGACAAGTTAGGCTTCAGTTTGATTGTCATGCGAGTTAATTGGATCGCAATTTCTAAATAATAAAATATAAGACATGACAATTTTATTAAGATAAATACAATGCTAAATACTAAAATCATTTACAATCCATAATAATTACAATGTTAATTTGCTATTACATTCTAATTACAATTGTACAATAGAAGAAATTGGGCTCACATAGAAGCCCAAACCGTAGTCAACTCTGGTAAATGCAAGTCAACAGGCCTAAGTTGGGTCAAGCCCATATCACAGTCAACCAAACCCAAAAATCAAAGCCCAGTCGTACTCGGGCCAGATCCAATCCCGGTCGAACCGGACTGGTTCAACCAGGCACAAGCCCAGCCCAATCCTCAACCAATCACAAAATACAACTAACCTACCCTACTAGCCAATAAAAAAAATACACTTACCCCCTACCCCTAACAGCCAATAAGAACAGTGCACAACCGTTAACTACTGTAGAGCTACAGTATAACTCCCTGCTATAAAAGAGAGGCCTTGTAGGCCAAGAACGAGGGGGGGAGTTCTTTCTTCGGCTTCACTGCACTTTGCTTCCCCTTCTTAAAAAGCCACGACTTCTTCATCTTCTTCTTCTTCTTCTTGGCACTACCCTCTTCCTTTCCTGACCAAACAAACCTAAAAGAGCAATCAAAACCAACAAAAATAAACTCTGCAAAATCAGACTTTACTCTTTCCTTCTTCATACATAACAAAAGGCTACTTCCTCACTTCTTCTTCATCTTCTTTCTCCCCAAGTTTCCTGTCCTCGTTTCTTCTTCTCCCTTTCCGAAAGACAGCAAAGAAACCACAACTCCCTTTACTCTTCCCCGCATAAACAAACACACACAAACAGAAGCCAAAAAGAAATCCAAAAGGAACAACAACAAAAAACCTCACCACAAACATCCTCCCCTGCCACCAACATCAGCAAAAGCACAAAGGAGATAGCAGACAAAGAAGCTCAGAGAATCAAGGAGAGGCAGAATCATCACCCAAACAACAGAAAACGTCAAAAGGTTGGTAGCAAAGTAAATTCAAAACCATCATCTTTATCATTCATCATCTTAAATCATGTTATTAAGTTCTTTTCAAAACCAGACTCAATCAACGCCAATTCAAATTACAATCTGACCCAAATAAGACTCCAAAAGCAATCAAGCCCAATCGATTTTCAAAGCAAATTACAAGTCGGCAATTCTCACTATAATAACAAAAGCAATCAACAAATCAGATATATTGCTTTTCCTTATGGGTTCATTATATTTACTTTCCTATTTATCTCAGTACTTTCATTTAAATATTTCATGTTTAAGCGTACTATACTACTAGATCTTTAAATCTATATTTGTTCATCATTTACTATTTTTTGGCCGTTCTGCTTATTTTTGTATGTTTGTTATTATATGTTGGACTATACACCTAACCATCACTAAGCTAAATTCCCCAGTTATTCACCATACACACAACAAATTTCCAATTTCAAAACCGCCATATTAACCCCAAGACAAACCTTTCGAAACCCACCTAATCAAATGATCACATCTGAGTTTTCAAACCAAGAAAAATAAACCTAGAAAATTTTCCCCAAATACCAGTCAAATTTCCAAAATCAAATTCACCCATAAAACCCACAAAAAATACAGATTTGAGCTCGACCACCCCTCAAGTCATCAGTTACCAAAACTCATCAATCACCACCAACCGATTCTCAGAATCAAACTTAACATGAGCACCGCCAAATTTCTAGACTTAAACCCACCATGAACACCCACAGAATGTCCAACCACAATCCAATTTTATGATTAGTAACCACAAACGAACCCAATTCCCCAATTCATAGCCGAAATCAGAACCAAGATCCCTTAATCCCAAAAAGATCTAACGTAAATAAGTTACCCTTTGTTTGTCATCACTGTCGCCGCGGCAAAGCTCATACCTGCCGGCAGTGGCGACCTTGCTCTTCCCTTTCTGCTGCTTCTTTGCTCTTTCCCCTTGTCCGCCATCCATATCTGATCCCTTTCCTTTTCCAAGCTCGAAACCCAGAAATCAAATGAACCATATCATCAGAAGCCTAAGTAGCCCCAAAACCCCCCAAAAAATGAGAATCAAATTTAAATGGGAAGACCTACCTCACTCTTCCGCCGATAGCCTTGCTGCCGTCGTCGACGGTACGGCCTACTGCTCACCTCCGCTCGATTCAACCCGAAACTTCCCAAAAAAAACACCACAAGAACAAAACCGAATCAAAATCTCCTCGCCCAGAATCAAACCTCACTCCAAATAAAAAACTAAATCATCATGCAAGCCAAAAAAAAGACCTTACCTTCGTCCCCGTCATCATCAACCGCCGGCGGCTCTCCTTGCTCGCCGTCGCTTGAATCTCTTTTCCTTTTCCTCGTCTCCATCAGAACTTAAGAGAGAGAGGGAGGTGATGGGGATTCATGTTTTAGGTTTTGTTCGATTTGGGAGACTGTAAGTCAGTTTTGAGAGGGGAAAGAAGAAGGTTGGGGGCGATTGAAAGAGCTAGGGTTTTGCTATCTTTTTTTTGCTAGCTCGTGTTTTTGGGGAAGAAGAAGAGGTGAACAGGCGAGAGAAAAACGAGGGGGGAGAGTGAAGTGAGAGGCGGCCGATCGATTAGATTGGTTTAGGGTTAAGATTTTTGTTGTTAAAAACGAATATATACCCAAACAGGCTAAATAACAGTTTTACCCCTAGGGTTTTACAGGTTTTACGTGGCCTTGCCACCTCGTTTTTAGTCATTTACAAAAATACCCTCGTTTTGATTTCTGCTAAAAAACGAAATTGGCTAAAAACAACTCCTAGGTTTCGAACCACAGACCTCAGCCTCGTTGATGGCCACAATCAGACGTTTAACCAATAGGTTAATCATTAATTACATATATACATATTAACTACTCATAATTTATAAACATTAAACCCTCGATATACAAAACTTAAATCAACAGGATAAGTCCTCTAATTTATCTCACTTTAAGTTTTTTCTAAAAAACTATTGAAAATTCCAAATATTAAAGTATTTAACATTCTTTTGAAGGATGATTGATCACCATTTTACTTTGTATGGAGATCCTTAATATGAAATACAAGGGTCGATAACTATGGTAATTTTTCTCGTATTAAATCTCCTTCTAAGCCAATACTCCCAAATCAAAACTTCAAAAGATTAAAACAAACATCAAATTTCTAAAAAATATATAACTTGATTAATCGAACTACGTGGACTTTGATCCCGATTAACTCGGGTACGTAGGCAACCGATAGGTTCGAGTCCAACCAATTAAAAAAACTTTTTGCGTCGATAGACGTGAAAACCGATAACTTTAAATTCAAATTTACACTAATCATGTCGTCAAATGGGACTCTAAAAATTTACATTTAATTTAAAAACAATTAAAAATTACAATTAAATACGCAATAATGCACAAACAATAATACACCCAATTCTTAAAAAACTTATCGATTTATGTAGTACCCATTATAGGGCGTTGTGGGGTGTGAATAAACTTCCTCACACGTAACCGTACTCCCGAACCTAGAACAATCTAAAATTCGCAGACCAGAATTCTGGTTTTAACACAAAAATTAAAACCGGAAAATGGTGTTCGACCCACCCAAAATAAGGTCGATGGCGACTCCGATCAGTTTGCGAGCTTTCCTCCGACCCCGAGGGGGCGGTTGCGACAATGGCGACTCCGCTGGGGAATTCTAAGAGTCAAGCTACATTTACTAAACTGATAAGTTTTCTTACTATATTTGATTTGTTGGGTGTTTACTTTCTTTATTTGTACATCAATATTGCCATGTATTTAATTATTTGCATTCATGCATAAAAAGCTCTATACCCGAGCTCTACCTTAAGAAATTGAAAGGAGTACCGTGACTCTTACAATAGTAGGAGTCATGCGAAACTTTCTAACCAAGTTGAACTCAAATCCGAGGTTGATTTGACGTATTCGGCTAGCTCGAAAGAGCTATAGACGGATACAACTTGGGAAACAATATCCTAGAACTCCTTACCCAGCATATAGTCAATTTAGATGCCACCCTAAATTATCCAAAATGAATTCCCAAGCCACCTTTAACCTCATCGTTAAACCTTCCAACAACCCTAGGTTCATCTAAATGGGGTAATGTTTGTTTTTATATATGCGTGCTTATGACATGATGAATTGTGTTTTATCGGTTATTCATAAATGATGTGATATGCACAAAAGTTTTTAACTCGTGATTATCATTCTCCATTCATTCATTATACAATCAATTATGAAGGTAATTTTACCAGCATTCATGCATTAACTAAAAAATAATCTTGCATATGCACAGTCTTATCATTTAGCATGACTATCATACATCCATCTCATTTAGAAACATGTAACAATTTAACCATAACAAGTCAAATCAAGGGTTTTCTAAAGTTTGTTCATCCACGAGGACATAGTCAAACCCTTAAGTACCAGATCCAAGGTTATGCTTGTACGAAGTCATTCCAAAAGGATCGGACGACATAAACGGAGTTCCTCAAATCTTGGGGAAAAAATTAAAAGCAGTTATCCTATTCTTGATGATTTGGTCAAAATTTGAAGAACCAAGGTGCCAAATCGTCCATACATCGACAATGACCCATTGACCACTTATGGGGATTAGTTGGCACACTACAAGACGAAGCTCTATTCAATAATGATGTCAATCCTCATGAGAAAATGAGCATTGAATGTGTATTACCTTATGTATCGAACAATCTCCTTCATACTAAAGAATAGAATGTCATTTGCATTTCCACCGATTTGGGACATTGTGTGACTACTACCAATTTGATTTAGAAGTTTGCATCAATGATTCCTTCTCTTTTCCAAAAAAAAATTTAAGATCAACTTGTCTTCTCAACAAAAGGGAACCATAAAAATGTATTTCATGTTCTCAAGTTAAGTCATGAAATTTTCATATTAAGCCAATATAAGCACCCCACTGGTGTCGAGTGATTTATAAATACTTAGTCGATATCAATAATTTTTGCAGCAGAGTGTGCACACCCTACCAGTGTCGAGAGTTTGAGCACCCCCACTAAACTTGAGAGTATAAACACCCCACTGGTGTCCATAAGTAACGTGAGCTAAATAGTCAAAGGGTGTAACGAGGATACGATATCAGGCTATTTGTAGAGGCTTGTCACTGCCATTTTCGAACATCTCTATCAAATCAGGCTCGACTAGAAAGGGGGTTGAGTTAGCCTAATTACTGTATCAAAATTCTCAAGTTTCTCATAGAATCCTAATGACTAGAAGGTTGGGGAAGCTGAATGATCCTATTTGACGAGCTCGTTGGTGCTCAAAATCAAAAGCGTCAAAATGACACCATGTAGGGGAAATTTCAAAGCCAAGTAAGTCCCACACACACAAAAAAAAAGAGCAAAAACAAAAAAAAAAAGCCAAAAGGCAACAAAAAAATCAAAATAAAAAGGAAGACAAAAAAAAGCTCGTGGGACTTACGCGTTAGATACCCCTGCACGAGCGCTTGAAGTCATAAAACTAGTCACGAGTGAAGATTATTGACTACCTTTTCTAAAATGCCAAAAGGATGATTTCAAATCTACCGTCAACGTGGTCACAAAAGCCAATGTAGAGTCATTCTCTCAACCAACTTGTCTACACACTCCTGCGAGGGCTAGTCAGCAAACGAATCACCTATCCAAATGAAGAGTATTCGTCTGCCAAACCTGAAGAAATGACACAAGTAAACTCGAAAAAGATGGGGCATCCAAGAGAAGAATGTCTGCCTGATCTAAAATCCACTCCATGACCATCCTCATTTTCCATCACTCGAACTCTCCCTTTCAAGATAAACAAAAACCACCATTATAATAATACTTCAGCAGCCATGCCTGCACCACAGAAGGCTTTTCCACATTCATTATTTTGACAACCAATGAGAAGTCAAAGCTTGTATCATACCAAGACCTTCATCATCCATGCTTTCAAGGTAAAAACAAAAAAGGGTC